GTATTCCCCCAAGTTGTAGGGCCAAGTTATGGAGGACTTCCATGTAGGAGTTGTGTATTTGAGGGTTGTTGTTTTTTTAATGACACTATTAATTTAGTAACCAGAAGAAAAAATATGTGGCGTTTTGTCGTGTTTTGTTCCATGCTAATTGCTAGCAGGCTTATTATATCAGTGTTCGAATGAAGTAGAAAGGAACTGATGTATCTTTAAACCCCCAAAAGTAGGATCAAGGTTAGAAAGTGTCTTGTCTCCTCTCCTACATGTTTATTTTTGTTATTGTTTTTATTTAATTCCTGTTTAGGTTGCAGCTCCAAGGTTTAGTTCTATCATTGCCCAGAATTATTATTCACTTCTATTTTTTGTTGATTTGCTTATGAAAATGCTTATTATAATACTTCTGAGAATTTCTTTGCCTTCTAGGAAAATACAGTATAATTACTGTGATGCTGTTTTAAAGAGAAGTATGTGTATAATTAAGCAAAATCAGAACTATCAGTATAGGACTGTGGTCAGCAAACTGTGGCTCGAGAGCCACATGCGGCTCTTTGGCCCCTTGAGTGTGGCTCTTCCATAAAATACTATGGCCTGGATGAGTTTATTTTGAAGAAGTGGCATTAAAGAAGTTTAAATTTGAAAAATTTGGCTCTCAAAAAAATTTCAATCGTTGTACTATTGATATTTGGCTCTTTTGACTAATGAGTTTTCCGACCACTGGTATAGGAGGTTTTTAACAAAGCTTTTGAAATGTTAATACCTTCAGAAAAGGCTCAACAACTTAGGACAGGTTTGCATGTGTAAACTAAGGACTTCGGGCTAGTTTCTGTGTAAATGTAATTTTACCTTTGGGGTTAATGCTGACTTGGTTTATATCTTTATATAAATGCAGGCTTAGTGTTGTTGTTTTATTGTTTGTTTGCTTGTTTGTTTTTTAAATCTATTTTATTGATTTTTACAGAGAGGAAGGGAGAGGGATAGAGTGTTAGAAACATGGATGAGAGAGAAACATTGATGAGCTGCCTCCTGCACAACCCCCACTGGGGATCGAGCCTGCAAACAAGGTACATGCCCTTGACTGGAATCAAACCCGGGACCCTCCAGTCCGAGGGCAGATGTACTATCCACTGAGCCACACCGGCAGGGCCAGGCTTAGGGTTTTTCAGGGAAGCTACTGCTTAAAAGGACAGAAAGTGTCTGTTTCTTTCTAACCCCTGTTAAGTGACTGTTAAAATTCTCTCCCAGTTGCCTCTCCTTGAGGTTTGTCCTCTGAGTACTTGTAGAGTAGGCAGTCAGGTGCCTATATTAAAGGATTCACTATGTTAGAAGTTTAATTCTTGGAAACTATTTCATAGTGCTTTTAAAAAAATATCTGAGCCCAGCTGGTGTGGCTCAGTGGTTGAACATCAATCTATGAACCAGGTAGACGGTCACAATTTGATTCCCTGTCATGGCATATGCCTGGGTTGTGTAGTTCTCTCATCATTAATATTTCTATCTCTCTTTCCCTCTCCTTTAAATCAGTAAAAATATATTTTAAAAATAATAATAAAATAAAAAATATTTGAATTGAAGATTCTGAAATTTCAGGTTGCAAAATGAATTTGAATAGGAAGTTTTAATGTTCATAGAATCAGTATGAAAAGATTGGTGAGAGTGATTTTAATACTCTGAAAAAATAGTACAGTCTAATGGAAAGATCTCTGACTCAGAGTTTAGTCAGATTTTTGTCATGTACTAGCCAAGTCTCCTTGTATGAGTTGTCTATATGGTGCCTCAGTTTCCTTATCTGTAAGAAAGTAAGAGGTTGGATGGCTTCCTTCTTAGAATCCCCTAGGAAAAAGGCGTCTGCTTCACACACTTAAAACCCCACTAAATGACAGTAAAAAAGTGTGTGTGTATGTGTGTGTGTGTGTGTTGTGTGTGCGCGCGCATGCATGCTGCATGTGTGTATGCATACATAATGTTATAAACTCTTAAGAATGAAGAGAACAAGAAAGCAGACCACAGCAAAAATTTTTGGAAGTTGGAAAACAGATAAAAGGATTTAATAGACCCCCCCCCCCAAAAAAAAAAAATTTTTTTTTTTGATTGCTAATGTGGAAGTAAAGAAAGTCATCAACCACCCCAGTTTATACCCCACAATCTTCTAGAAGCTCAGGAATGAGCAATATGAAGTACTTTTGGAGATAAAAATAAAGGTGGCACTTGGCCAGTGCTGCTCAGTGGTTGAATGTAGACCTGTGAACCAGAAGGTCATAGTTTGATTCCCGGTCAGGGGACCTGCCCAGGTTGTGGGCTTAAGCCCCAGTGGGGTGTGCAGGAGGCAGCTAATCAGTGATTCTCTCTTACCATTGATGTTTCTATCTCTCCCTCTCCCTTCCTCTATGAAATCAACAAAAATATATTTTAAAGAAATAAAGGTGGCAACTTGGATAAAGGTTGGTTGAAAGCTTTTTGAAAAGCAATCAGATGCCCAGATCTCTTTCCCAATCTCGGCAACGAATTGGAGACTTGATAACATTCAAAGATGGCAAAAGAGAAGGTCCCTCAACTTGGTTTCATCTCAACTTGGTTTTCCTCAGTTCCAGGATGCGTATAGCCAGGACTGCAATTCTGGCAGGAGACTAGAATGACTTCTATGGGGAATGTGACGGACCAAGAGGAAAGACGCAAAGATATTGATGCTGGAAGTTTCTAAACCAAACTTCTGGCTAGAATATCTTATCGTGAAGAACCTTGTTTATACCCTTTCAGTTAGCTGATTAGTGCCCCACTCAAATGTCAGCAGATGGCCAAGTATTGTTGTGCATAGGGATTAAAATAGGCAAGAAGCAGCAAATTCGAAGAAACAGACTATTCTGGGAGAAGAATTTTTAAAAATATATTTTTTATTGATTTTTTACAGAGAGGAAGAGAGAAAAACAGAGAGTTAGAAACATTGATGAGAGAGAGATCGATCAGCTGCCTCCTGCACACCCCCCATCAGGGATGTACCCGCAACCAAGGCATATGCCCTTGACCGGAATCGAACCCGGGACCCTTCAGTCCACAGGCCTATGCTTTATCCACTGAGCCAAACCTGTTTCGGCTGGGAGAAGACTATTAAAACAACAATAATATATATTCTCAAGGGTGAGAGAAAAAAGTATACCAAACTTGAAACAAGAATATATTATATGAAATGAACATTTAGAAAAATAAAAAGGATTTTTTGAAATAAAAAATATAATAGCAGAAATAATCATTAAAAGTAGGGCTGGGTAAAATTGAGAAAATTGGTAGAGTAGCAAAATGGCTAGGTATGTTCAACACAATGGCTAAGAATAGACACCCTAGCAAGGCACACCATGACATGTTCTGAACAAAGAGAAAGTTCTTTACAATTCCAGTAAGACATTACTGGTCACCTTGACAAAGATCTGGGATTAGAATGGCTTTGGACTTAGCAGACACAGTGGAATCTAGAGAGTAATGGGACAGCACCTTCATAATTCTAAAGGAACATTATTTCCAGCCCAGAATTCTATAAGCTCGACCAACCGACAAGTCAAGGGAGGAAGAATAAAAACAATCAAATGTACAGGTTTTTAAATCACTTCCCTTTTCCCTTTGTAAGAGCTGCTTTGAGGATGTGCTCCATTAAGCGAGAAAAAGGGGAGAAATTGAACTTGGGGAAAATGAGGAGCGATTCTGTAAAGAGATGACACTGAGGGCGGGAGATCCCAGGATAGCATCTGCACGTCAGGCCCAGAGGAAAGGCAGTCCAAATTGGAGTGGGTCAGAGGCACTGGACCCTCTTTGGGCCTGAAATGGAGAGAATACCTGATGCCTGTGAATGCAGTGATAAAGGCACTAGGGCATGGTGTTGAGATAGTCATTAGTCTATGATAAAACCTGGCAAACAGCTCTAGCTGATTTGGCTCAGTGGTTAGAATGTTGCCCCTCGGACTAAAGGATCCCGGGCTTGATTCCAGTCAAAATCACATACATGGTTGCAGGCTCTATCCCTGGTCCTGGTCCAGCCGGGCAGGTAGCAACAATCAATGTGTCTCTCTCACATCAATGTTTCTCTCTCTCTCTGCCCTCCCTTTTATTCGGTCTTAAAAAAAAAATCAATGGAAAAAAAATCCTTAACAAAAAAACCCTCCCAAAAACAAACAAACAAAAAATCTTGGCAAGCATAAAAACAAGACAGTCACTTAGAGGAAAAAAAAATTCAAACAAGGAAGGAAAAGCAATCATAACTTCTCCACAGTTCTCAGCTATGAATAGTGCCCATAACCACAGTTATCATAGATGATCGTGAGGAGACTGGAGGACGGAAATGGCATGTGTGTGGTGGGGCTGGGGAAGAAAGGGAGGGAATCCTGCCCCCCCCCCCCCCAATAGTGTGAAGTCAGCAGGTCAGGCCTAAAGCGGAAGCATCACAATGAGCTGTGTGAGCGAAAGGAGGAAACTAGTAAAGCGGTTGGCTAACAGAAGTGAGAGTAGTTCCCTTAGAGCAGGGGTGGGGAACGTCTGGCCCGAAATCTTTTGGTCTGGCCCTGCCAAGGCTTGAGGGGTGAGTTTATTAAATGTTTAACCGAACATAGCAGGCTAATTTTTAAGTTGATCATTTGGTCTGGCCTGTGGACGATGTTATAAATACCCAGATGGCCCTTGGCAGAAAAAAAGGTTCCTCACTCCTGCTTTAGAGAATAAGGTACAGGGTGTGTGTGCTGTTTTTATAATTACGTTGTGGAGTAATTTGACAGTAACCTGAGTGCATATAAAGCTGTAATATCAATCAGAATAGAAACAGTGGTTAAAATGGTGTCATCTGGTTAGCATTTTTATTGATGGGTTCAAATTTATAGCTGCAATGAAGAGCCAGTCCAGAATCCTGCTTCACAAAAAATTATGTCTAAGAAAAAAACCCTCTTTTGTAGACATCCGAGAATTGCAGAATTGATCACATGTGCCTACCAGTCTGAGTTGCCTTTTTTCCCCCCTTGCCTTTCTAGATTATCCTCTTGACTTGAACCACAGTGAGACCTTCCTACAAACCACAACTTTTCTTCCTGAAGACTTCACCTACTTTGCAAACCATACCTGTCCCGAAAGGCTCCCTTCCATGAGTGAGTAGAGCTCTCGCTTATCTTCCTCCGCTCTTGAAACTGCTGTCTTGTATTTGATTAGAATTAGAGGGAAGATGCTCTTGTTCTCTGTATGTGTCTCCCTGCGTGGAAAACATAAACATCCCCCTGGAGGGGAAACAGGGACTGTGAGACGGACTTGTGCCCCGACCCTTCCTCAACCCCCTGCAAGGGGCCCGTGTTCTGCGTGCCCTTTGCACACGCCCCCTCATTGGGGCCTGATAGGACGTCTTTTATTATGTATTTTACACTGATGATAGCTTGTTTGATATGAGAAAAGTTATTTTCTTAAGCAAGTGTTGGCTTAAAAAATCATTGGCTCTTTTTTTTCTTTCCTTTTTTCTTGAAATCCCAGGTTTAGTCTAAAGCAGTGTTTCCCAAAGTGTCATACGCGTTGCACCAGAGTTTGGTGGTGATATGCACTGCACCGTGCTTAGCTGTGCCTAATTCTACGTTCTCATGAGTATGAGGGTACTCAGCGTTAAGAAAATTATAGAAGGGGTACACATATGTCAAAAGTTTGGGAAGCACTGCTCTAAAGCAATGACGACAAAGCATTATACCTTTTCTGTATCTTAGACAATTCCACTTCTTAACTTAGGTTAGAGATGGGTGTTCTGAGTTTGGGCATAACCAGGTAAATGAATTTGGACACTGCGTCTGCACTTGCCTCGGGAGCACGCAGAGATGGCTCCAAACTCAGCTGCGTTTCTCCTTCCTCTTTGAGAAGTGCAGTTGCTGTTTTACTTGGGTTTAACCTCTCGCTACACCCTGGGCCGAAGCAGAACTCTCCATCTTGGTTTGGCTGCAGTAATGGTGACGACCTGAAATGCAATGAGTTGGAAAGCCGAGGAAGGGACTCCACTCCTATTAGAAACAATAAGCTGAAAAAGCATTGACCTTCTCCGGAGAGTAAAACCCTGGACATAGGGGAAAGAATCTACCATTTTCTGGCCTTAAAGTTTTTTTTTTCTCTCTCTCTCTCTCTGTTCAGAGGGCCCAATAGACATAAACATGAGTGAAATTGGAATGGATACCATTCATGAACTCTTCTCCAAAGACCCTGCCATCAAGCTCGGAGGTCACTGGACACCTTCCGATTGCGTGCCCCGATGGAAGGTAGGGTGTGGAGTCAGGACCTGAAGTGCTCAGACCCATCATGGCTTCCCATCCCCGTGGGGTTCACCACCAGGGCATTTGTAATTTGCTTCCTCCTGCCCAGTGAGAAGTGTTTGCATGTGATGGAAATACTCTGGAGGGATGGGTGTCCCCTGAGGACTCCTGTATGGCCAGACATTTACATTGTCCTGGTCACAGAGCAGCACTCTTGTCTCCTTAGAGCAGCGGGGAGAGTTGGTAGGTCTCTTCGGACACATCTACAGAGGCCATCTTCACAAATTCAGTGCTTCCTGCCCCGTTCGCCATTGTTACTCTGAGTTTAGTGGAGTAAAAACTGGAGGGCGCTCGCCAGACACTGAGAATTTTGAAGGACTTGTTCTGTGCCAGCCCAGGGAGATGGCTGGGTGCAGCAGTGGCCCAGGAGGGTCTGGAGCAGATCCGTGTTTCCGCCTGCAGGCTAGAATGGAAAGTCAGTGCAATGACCATCATTAAATAAATTATCTGTGTTTAAGTGCCTTGCGCGTTGTAAGGGGAAGTATTCTTTTGTGATGCCCAGTTTAGTTGTAATGTTTATATATCTTGGGATATATCCGCGTACTGGGTCACCATGTAGGATGTGTGTCTTCCTCTGGGCTGTGGTCTAGAATGACTCCATTCAGCAGGCCTACCACGTGTACAGTATGGCACATGCAAGAACAAGGTCCACTTCCTCCACAGGTTTGACTTGCCAAAGTAGTTCTTCCTTTAAAGTACTTGAGGACAAGGCAGCCTCCACTCCCCAAGAGCTGGTCACTGATTCTGCTGAAGTTGAGGGGACTAACAGGACGGCCTCTTTCTTTTCGCTGTGACCCTCTCTAGGTGGCAATCCTTATCCCCTTCCGGAACCGCCACGAGCACCTGCCAGTTTTGCTCAGACACCTGATTCCCATGCTTCAGCGCCAGCGCCTGCGGTTTGCATTTTATGTCATTGAGCAAGTGAGTGGTCGGTCCTTTCTCTCCTCTCCTTTCTCTTCTGAGGCAGCAGTTAGAGTGCTTCAAGCTAATCAATCCATCTTCAGTGTGGAGAGCTGGTAAAACGGAAATCTTGTGACTGAGTCACCCTGAGCCGGGAAGGGGAACAGAGAGCAATTCTTTGCTCCTCTGTGAAACGTGGCTCAGTCAGGACCACAGATTTGCGTCCAGGGTGGAGCTTTGTTTACCCTTGAACAAAGGCCCCTTGTGTGGTGGTTTTGCTAGAGCTGCTTTGGGTGGTGTCTTCAGGCTCCAGGAAATTCCCCTTATGATAAGGAGCTGTAAGTAAAAGGCCGAGTGTTCTTCCTTCCTTTCTGGGCTGGGTAATCTAAAAGCTGTCCACCACAGCCGTGGAGAGAGCAGCTCGGGTTTATCATCCCCATCCCTTCTATTCCTGAGGAAATGAGGCTGGCGGTCAGGTGGCTCTTGAGGCCGTGGTGCGGGTGCTGGGCCTGTCTCACTTCCGGCCCAGCCATCTTCCCCAGTGGCTTTCCTTTAGGCAGGGCAGAGGCAGCAGCGACTGCTTCAGAGGCCTTTTACAAATAAAGCTCTGCTCCTTTAGGTTGGCACCCAGCCCTTCAACCGAGCCATGCTTTTCAATGTCGGCTTTCAAGAAGCGATGAAGGACTTGGACTGGGACTGTCTTATTTTTCATGATGTGGATCACATACCTGAAAGTGATCGTAACTACTATGGATGTGGACAGATGCCAAGGCATTTTGCGACTAAATTGGATAAGTATATGTATCTGTGAGTATCATTTCCTCTTAATTAAAGAAGTTAAATCTGTACCACATGATCTCACTCATGTGTGGAATATAAAGAACATTATAAACTGTTGAACAAAAATAGATACAGAGGCAAAGAAGCATCGAACAGACTGTCAAACTACAGCGGGAAGGCAGAGGAGAGTTGGGGGGCTAAGAGATCAACCGAAGGACTTGTATGCACGCATATAAGCATAACCAGTGGACTCAGACACTGGGGGGGGGTGGGGGGGGGCACGTGCCAGGGGATAGGGGAGGCCAGAAGGAGGTCAATGTGGGGGAGGAAGAAAGACACATGGACTACTATTTGTAATACCTTAATAAAATAAAAGAACTTAATGGAAAAAAATAAGTTAAATCTGAAAGGATGTTGAGAGATGCAAAGATGGCAAATTCAATTAGCTTCAACCCAAATGCCCATCAGCTGATGAATGGGTAAATGACATGTAGTAGATCCACACAGTGGAGTACTGTCTGTCAGTTTAAAGGAACGAAGTACTGCTAGATGCAACAACGCCGATGAAAGCATGCTGAGTGAAAGCAACTAGTTACAGAAGACAACGTATTACATGATTCACTTATATGAAATGTCCAGAACGGGCAGATGTGCAGAAGCAGAAAGGAGAATAGTGGCTGCATGAGGGAATGGGGGGAAATGAAGAGTACCTGCTAATGGATACAAGGCTTTTGTTGGGGGTAATGAAATGTATTAAAATTGACTGTGGGCATGGTTGCACAACTCTGTGAACATACTAAACATCTTTGAATTATGCTCTTTTTAAAAATATATATTTTATTGATTTTTACAGAGAGGAAGAGAGAGAGATAGAGAGCTAGAAACGTCGATGAGAGAGAAACATCGACCAGTTGCCTCTTGCACACCCCCTACCCGGGTTGTGCCCGGAACCAAGGTACATGCCCTTGACCGGAATCGAACCCGGGACCTTTCAGTCCACAGACCGACGCTCTACCACTGAGCCAAACCGGTTTCAGCTTGAATTATGCTCTTGAAATGTGTGAGTTATATGGCTTGTCAATTACATCTCAGAAAAGCTGGTATAAAAATGTTCAGTGAGCTACTCGGGTTGATGCATCTCAGCGAGAGGAAACAATTTCGGGTGGTTCGGGGCAGTAGCACAGAGAGCCTTGTTTTACGGTAGACCGTTTTCCAGCGAGATGGCCTGTTCTAGGGGGAAGAAATTACCATTCGTGCACAGATGATGGACGCTCTTTGTCTCCTTTTAGGCTTCCCTACACTGAGTTCTTCGGCGGAGTGAGTGGCTTAACAGTGGAACAATTTCGGAAAATCAATGGCTTCCCTAATGCTTTCTGGGGTTGGGGCGGAGAAGACGACGACCTGTGGAACAGGTACGGCCCTTCTTCCCGCGTCTTCCAGCGGCGCTCCCTTACGCTCTCCAGGCCGTGCTGTCCAGTATGGATGTGTATGCGATTTAAAAAGGTCCCAGCAGCCACTTTTCTAACGGTTAAGAAAGAAAAGGAGGGCAGATTAATTTTAGTATGGTAGTAAAATACCCTGTTTCCCCAAAAATAAGACAGTATCTTTCTTATATTAATTTTTTCTCCCAAAGTTGCGCTAGGTCTTATTCTCAGGGGATGTCTTATCTTTCCATGCGCTAGGTCTTATTTTCGGGGAAACACGGAATGCCGGTAATATATTTATCATAGTGTCTCCAAATAATAATATTTCAACATGTGATCAATATAAAATGTTAATGAAATACTTTACATTCCTTGTTTCTTACTAAATCTTCAAAATCTGGTGTGTGTTTTCCACTCACAGCACATTTCACTGAAACCTCCCCAAGCGAGAGGCTGACTGTCAGTGATGTGCCCAGATTTATCTGTGCCGTCAGTCCAGGCTTGTGTGATACAAGTGTGTGTGAACAGTCTGTGTGGTGTAGACATTTAATAAGGCAGGAATAAGCAAAAGAATTGCCACCTCTGTTTACTTCTAGGTTGGCTTTAAAAAAGAAAGTATGTGTTGGCTGTTAATTACAAAGTAGTATCTGTTGGTAAGAATTCATGGGGTACAAAAGCACAGAAACCAAAGCGTGTAAGTCTTTTTTTTTTTTTTTTTTTTTTTTTTTTTTTTTTTAATATATTTTATTGATTTTGTACAGAGAGGAAGGGAGAGAGATAGAAAGCTAGAAACATCAATGAGAGAGAGTCATCGATCAGCTGCCTCCTGCACACCCCCCACTGAGGATGTGCCCGCAACCAAGGTACATGCCCTTGACCGGAATCGAACCCGGGTCCCTTCAGTCCCCAAGCCGACGCTCTATCCACCGAGCCAAACCGGTCTCGGCCAAAGCGTGTAAGTCTTACTTCCCATTGCCATCCTATTTCATTCCCAGGAATTAGCCATTTAACAGTTTCTTTCTGCTGCTTCCTATTCATATATAAGCAACTCTGACACATCCCTTCTCCCCTCCCACTATGTTCATATAGTGAGGACCACTTCATTATTTTAATAATTGCATAGTATTCTTTTATGGAGTACACAGTTTCTAGTAAGCCCAGCTTGGGAAATCTTATCTTTATCATGTCAGGATAATATCCTGAACACCTTCTCCAAATTCTGCCTCCCTCGTAGTGACTCTCCATGAACTGTGAAGTTTTACATCGAGAATTTGTCATGTAAATCTGTTCATCTCCGTAGTGATGGGGGAGGTGAGCGGAGACATGATTTAGACCTAAGCAGAGAAAACCCGTAGCAGTTCTGACTTTGCTGACTTGCTTTGTGGGAGCTGGTGGAAGGGAACGGTCCTTTCCACCCCTGAGAATGTCTGATGGGACCCCAGCGAGCCGGCAGGAGGAGTGGGTGTGCACTCGCCTGCCAGGGGCATCACTGTTGGACCTACCACCCGGGACCCGTGTCAACCTTACCCTCAAGAATTTTGAACTTTCATTTTGAATTTATTTTATTTTTTCAAAACTTTTTTGTCGATTTCTTTTATAAAACCATGAACTTATCCAGAGAGTGTAGGTAATTTGAATATTTAGATGCAGAGAAAGTTCTGTTGTTCAACTTGGGTTTCTCAGCCTAGGTCACCCCTAGGACTTGCACACTTATCTGAATGCCCATTCTCTTTGTCTTGGGCAGAGTACAGAATGCAGGCTATTCTGTGAGCCGGCCGGAAGGGGACACAGGGAAGTACAAGTCCATTCCCCATCACCATCGAGGAGAAGTCCAGTTTCTTGGAAGGTGGGTGCCTTTTACTCCTCTTATGACTCCTGGGCTTTGCGTTTCCAGGTGTCCCCGGGCGCACAGCAGCCCCTCGTCCGACTCCCCAGCCTCTCTCCCGGGCCCTGTTCTGACAGCTGTTGATAGGCCCCAGGTATCCTTAACCGTGAGGCCAGCGTTTGAGGGTTAAGTCAGGCTATTGATTGTAAGAGCCTTTAAGGGAGTCACTCCGTCTACGCCATAAGCTTTACTGTCTCCTCTGCAGCTGCAGGGAGTTGGGGCAGTCACTCGGGCAAAGGTCTTGGACTTGCTCTGACGTGACAGAGCAGAGTTGGCACCTCCCTACAAACTCCCGTCTGGAGGGGTGGCCCTGAGCTTCTGGCTGCGGTTGCAGTTGCTCTAACACCTCTCTGCTTTCAACACGTAAATCCCAGGTTGGACTCTTGGGGCGTGTGGACGGAGTGGCATCTCTGCATTTTCAGGGGCAGCTCTGTCTTTGTTCAAGGGGGAGAATGGGCTCTGGAGAGCCGATTCTGATTGCATGAACTCTGTCTTCATGGGAATTACAGGGCCCTGAATACAGACTCTGAACCTCCCCATCTGATGTGTTAGTATCTCACCTCCCGCTTCCCCATTATCTGACCTTGGGCGCGTCATTTAACATCAGGAGCCTCGGTTTCCTCCTCTGTTTAAGGGGTGGGCGCCTTAAAGAAGTCTGTACTGAAGCACCTGGCATGAAACAGGAGGTGTTTCTAATGATAACTGCGTCTGAATGGCCGGTCCCGCCATGTGTCCTCCCGCCCCTGTGGGCTGCCCCGCTCCATCGTCTGTCCTGAGGGGGCCAGACCCCCTCACAGCCACCTCTGTTCTCTGCACCAACAGGTATGCCCTGCTGAGGAGGTCCAAAGAGCGGCAAGGGCTGGACGGCCTCAACAACTTGAACTACTTTGCAAACATCACATATGACGCCTTGTATAAAAACATTACCGTCAACCTGACACCTGAGCTGGCTCAGGTGACTGAGTACTGAAGGAGGAGGGAATGTGTGTTGCTTTACCCACCACCACCACGAAAGCAGCCTGATGTGTGGAGAGGTCTTGGGGCTCCACGCGGGATAGGGATTAGAAAAACGGTGTCTAATGAAGGATCACAGGGTCCAAGGGAAACTGTGAACAGAGTACACGCACACAGCGCCCCGCTGTTCGGACCCGCTGGGATCGGGGAGTCCGCTCGGGAACTCCTTTCATCAGGACTGCTTTCTATTTCCACAAGACAGACGTCTGGCCTGCTGCTCTCCTCCCGTCTCCTCCCCAGCGTCCCGTCTTAGCCACAATCTCCAGAACCGGAACTGTGACCCGCCGAGGGCCTGCCCCAGAGCCTGCCCTCCGAGCGGCCTCTGGAGCTTCTTGGCCTTCGGAGCGAAGAGGCAACAAGCGCACCGCAGGCCGCGGTGATTTAGGAAGAGCAAATGAGACTCCGCACACCATCGTCTCTGGTGTCCTCTTCGTTTCATTTTTTTTTTAATTACCTGCTTTGGGTGGGGATTGAGGGTAGAGGGGAGGGATTGGGGAAGATAAATAGACATGTAACAATCACTTCTTGAAGAAGTATAATTGTAAATAAGCCATGTAAAATGCCTTTTTTAAATTTAATTTTATAGCTGGCTTTGATTCAAACTGAGGATTTATTGTATAAGATCACTTCTTTGGCTGGCAAATGCAGGAACTCAGTTAAAACGCTGTGGAAGAACATATCTCCCAAGTTACTGTCACCTTGGAAGGGAGTGGACTTAGGGCACGTCGCAAAAGAACAAAACAAAGTCCAGTCTTTGTCACTGGCACCCACTCCTGCCCCCGCCCAGCCCCTTCTCCCAAGGTCTTGCTCTTGACTTTTCTCTGGATTCCCTCCCCCACCCCCCCTCTTGGGCACGGACAGGCTCTTCCCAATCTCTGGCTAAACAGGAGGTTCCTGTTTTACAGCAGGCGTTCCCTCTGCTCCAAGCAAGCCCTTGGGGGCGGGTGATGGTGGTGGGGGCCCCCGCCCCCCCATGGGTCCCTGCACTTGGTTTCGTCCGTTCACCATCAGCAAGGGAGGGTGAGTGGTGTCCCCCCTGCACCAACACCCCCGCCCCCGCCCTGCCTCTCAAATTTTTTTTTTCCTCTTGTGGAACACGGCCACAAAATCTGAAACCTGTGCCTAAATTCTAGCGACCAATTAGTGATCCCTCTGAATATTTCCTTTCTGATTTCTGGAAAGATTCCTTGTCAACATTATTAACTAGTACATAGAACTAACGAGCCATCGGGTGATGAGGAACCAGCCGGGAGCAAGTGGCTCTTGTGTGCCGTGGGTCAGCTGGGATCCACGTTAGACCATATCAGAGCTTTAAATTAAACTAGCAAAGCCAGGGCGCGCATGGGGGTGGTCTCTTCGCCCCATGTGCTTTTGGAAGTCACGTTCTAAATTGCATTTGAATTTGTGCCTCCCTGTTTTTGCCCTGAGCCAAACCCCTCAATTCTTAGTCCCGGGGACTTCTGCAGAATTTTGAGAAATGCCAGTTTCCCCCTCCCTTTCCATAAGACATATTTATATATCGTGATCGGGAGTACTTTCTGAAGAGTACTTCATATTTTTTTTAATTGCCTTGTTTGCCTTCAACTTCCTTAATTTCATGGTTTACATGGATGTGTGTGTAGGGGTATATTTGTATACACATGTGGGTTGGGGTTTTCTCCATTGCATGTGTTGGTTCCATGGACGTATGATCCCCACAAGCTGTGGGAGTGATTGGCCAGGCCTTGCTTTTATTCATGTTTTTGTTCTTTTGAAGAATAGAGTGATATTTAGAAAATTAGTTGTTCTTATCGGCTTGTATGAGAGAGCAGGCTGCTGCCCTTGAAAATGCTGGTAAGTTGTATCATATGTTTTAAAAGAATTTGAGAATTTCATGCTTTAAAAGACCTTCACGAGGGAATATTACACACAAAAGTTCATTTGGTTTTCCTTTGATGTATGGTGCATATAGCAATAAAGACTACTTTCCCCTCTCACACCCCCGCTGCCCCCACCCGAGACCTCTGTGCTGGCCTTGGCTCCTCACCCTTCTCACCCCCCTTCCTCTCTCCGTCACTGAAGGCCGCGCTGCTTCCCGTGTGACAAAGCCAGGATGCCATTCGGCAGAACTGGCCAGGACAGACTGCTTGGTAGTTGGCAGTGTTCTAAAGTGATCTTCTTTGAAGCTTTTTTCACTGATGTAGTTGCAGCCAGGAGCCAAATGTTGGCAAAAGGCTGACACCTGACTTAAAAAAAAGAAAATGCTGGATTGAGGACAAGAAGGAAAGGTCTCATGAAGTGGGGTCACTTAAATTACCTTGCAATCATGTGTAAGTGTGTATTATTAGTGTGAATTCTTATTGTGTGCTGTTAGCCATTTATCCACCGCGTTGAGTATTGTGTGGCAAACTGAAATGTTAAAAACACACAGCCGGCGGGTGTGCTGTTAATGGTGTGAAATTCTCATGTCAAAAAAGAAAAGGAACAATAAGAACCAAGTGTGACCTTGTGCATATTTTGGCAGCTGAAATTGCTGAAGGCTACTGATGGGTGACCCCTTACATCATTCTTGTCTTTGATTATTGAGTACAGGGAAAGGTTTTCCTTTCACACTCTTGGTTTTTTGTGGTTTTGTTTTTTTTGGGGGGGGGGGGGGAAGGGAGAGGGGTTATTTGCAAAAATAATCATTTTGACATTACAGGGACTTTAGTTAGAGCTCCTCTGTCGCAGACATCAATAGCGGAACAGCAGCCACGTGTATTGATTGTATCCACTCACCATTGACGATGACATGGAACTTAGCTAGCTTATTCCCATCACTACATTTTTTTGAGCTTGCTCTTATGTTTTAAGAGGTGCCAGGGGTACATTTTTGCACTGAAATCTAAAGATGTTTTAAAAAACACTTTTCACAAAGATAGTCCTTTGTCATTACATTATTTACTCATGTGTTTGTACATTTTTGTATGTTAATTTATGAATGATTTTTTCAGTAAAAAATACATATTCAAGAACCAAACCGTGGTGGTCGTCTCTCTCTGCCCAGGACCCCGTGGCTTCTCAGGCCTTTCCTTTCTTAAGCGAGTTCAGCTCCTTCAAGCGCTGGGCGGCTCTTTGCTCCGCTCACTGGACCCTCAGGGAGCACTGCCCACTGGACCCTCCCAGCCAGACCAGTTGAGTGAAAAACTCAGCCAGGGTAGCAAAAGCACGAGCCCCCTTTACTATCCAGACCTGCCGCACCCGGGTTTTCTTCAAGAATTGGCCCAGGTGATGATGCCCAGGTCGAATAAGATCCCTGAGCAAGGGGAGGGGAAGGTTCGACAGGTAGATCCAGAAGGTCCACTGGATCACTCCAGAGTTTGCCATCTGCCTGGTTCTGCTCAGAGAATCTAATCATAGAATGCTGACCGCTCGCTAGTATTTAGTGAGTGTAACGCTCTGTGCCAGGAGCTGGGACATAATGACGAGCAATAAGACGGGGTCAGTGTCATTGCTTACTGTTCCCCTGCCCACCCACTGAGGTTAAAGTGCCAACCTTGATGAGCGCTGTGAAGGGGACACTGGGCTGCGGGTGCATGGAGGGGCAGGTGTCCCTGCGGTGCGGTGGGTGAGCTGAGGAGGGGTGAGCGGGGCATCCGCAGGAGCAGGAAGCCAGGAAGGTTAGAGAGACCAGAGGACCACTCGGCACTGTTAGGCTGGGGGGTTGGGTTGGGCCAGACTGTACTGCAGGGCCTTGTGGGCCAAGGTTAGGAGTTTAGACGTTATCCTTAGAGCAGTGGGTACAAGAGTTTCCAGCAAGTAGGGCTCAGTGTCATGTGATTAGACAGTAATTTTTAATAGATTGCCGGCTGCAGGGGGAGTGGGGAATTGTAAAAAAGCAAAGAGGGAGCAGGGGGCCAATCAGGTGAGTCCAGTCCATGGGCCCATACACAGAGGAGGGTGCTGGGGTAAGACAGCCGTGGAGAGAAGGATGCTGGGGTAAGGCAGTGGAGAGGAGGATCCTGGGGTAAGAGCGTGGAGAGGAGGATCTTGGGGTAAGAGCTGTGAAGAGGAGGAATGGGGTGTAAGGCAGTGGAGAGGAGGATCCTGGGGTAAGAGCGTGGAGAGGAGGATGCTGGGGTAAGACAACTTGGCATGGATTGCTGTTGGGATGGAGGATTTCGTTGAGCTGCTGGCTTCCCCATTTGGTGGATGACAAGGCCATTCCCTGAGGCGGGGGAGTTGGAATTGGACCAGGTTCCCAGGGAGGGTCCTTCGATCCGTTGAGGGTATGCTGAGTTCAGGCGGTTTGAGACATCCAAACAGAGTGACGCTTGGACAGTCATACATGCTCTGTTTTGGGACTGAGAGGGTGCTGCAAAGCCGTGGAGTACGTTGAGTGAAAGCTAATGGTTGGTCACATGGCAATAGCAGTTTGGCTGAACTGGGGGTGCAGGAGGGGCACGCTGGAGTTTGGCGGAGATGGCAGGAAAGTAAGCAGCAGCCCTCCATGTAGGTACCTCCTGAATTTCAGAAGAGAGAAAAAGAGAAGGTGAATGGCTTTGATTTTCCAACAAGAGGAACTGGTGTGTTCTTGAAGCAGAGGGATATGCCCACCAGAGAAAGATGGTGAGTATACGGAGCCCAGGCACACCCAGCGGGGTGCTCCTGAGCCGGGACAGGGCAGGAGCCTGGAGAATGAAAGCTCCAGAGGAGGGAGGAGCCCTTCTCCACTTTCAGTTGGCCGCACAGATGCCAGAGACCAGGGCTGCTGTTAGAAAAGGCACACACCCCTTCTCTCCCTAGACAGTGCGGCTGAGTGGGCTCCAGGCACTGCTACCACCTCCTCCCGCTATATATTTTTTTTCTTAATTTTGTGGAAGTTCAGTCATAAAAATAGTAGTTCCCATTTGTTGAGGGCTTGTTCTGTGCTAATTAAGCACCTTGTACACCGTCAGTCCTCTCCCTGCAAGGTAGACATTGCCCTTTTTTCTAGGA